ATACACATTACTACAGAGACATGTCAATACGTGGATGTCAAGAAAATCGGTGGGGAAACCAAACTCCTACGTTACGTTGCTGTTGGCCTCAAAACGGGAGGGATTTGGATCCTATTTTAACATCAGGTAATTTAAAAAAAGAGACTCATTGTCTTTATATCACCTCATATGACTGTGGACACACTATACCTACACACAGTTCTGTCCAACCAGCATCAAAAAGATGGTTTTCATCACAGGTACCGTTTAAATAACATTAGCTAAGGTTAACAAAGATAAACAATTACCATAATAAATGTATTAATAATTGTTTATGTTAGTAAGTTCTACCTTAGTATTAGCATAATGTTACAAAACACCAAGACACGTCATTCTACATGACGAATGTACAAAGAAAAACATCAAGCTATTTGACTATATGTTTATGGAATCCACGCTCGTGGAAATAACCAAATAAACATATAAAACCACTTGTAACATCCATGAACATAAAAAAACATATAACAAAACTGTAACAAAATGCAATAAAATGAAAACCTTATTACCAAGAAGTTAGCAAATTAACATGATTCTGATACACCGTTTACGAGTTTCTCAGTAGTGGAAGGTGCCATAGTTGTGAAAGCTTAAAGCGCAGTAAATGGGAGATTAATATCGTTTTTTTTTCTTATTTGCTCAAATAATAAAAGAAACACTCCACGATGGTGTTCTAAAAACTTTCAGAAAAAGTAATGAAAATTGTGGGAGACTAATAACGGCAGCCAGAAGAGAGAATAATGTTAAATTAGACACTATTATTAACGCTGCATTAGAATCGCCGCGCACAAGCAGTATTTCGTTTTTTGTCATTTAAAGCAAAGATATTATACTTACATATATACATATAAGTGCTCCAATTTTAAGAAAATAATCAAACTATTAAAAACTTTCAAGGATTTAAGATTCCGATGACCGTTCACGTGCCATAACAGGCTTGTGAAAAGTGTCGATTTACTTCATTGCATCTAACGTCTAATCGATCCTATGATTCCCCTTTCGCAAAATTCAAATACCCGCACCTTAATTTGACCAACAATTGACCCCGATTGAGGCACTTTGTGACCGTTTTGACCTTGGTTAGAGCAATCTACGGCAGAGTTGGTGTAAATAACGTCTGCCAACAAGGCGGGCAATTTACAAAAAGTCACACACAAAGTACACATATTGTTACCACATTTAAAAGATTTTGCAACAATATCAAGGATTGCTGGATTCCCTGCACTGACAAACAGAAAGCTGCTTGGTTTTAAAATGACTCCTGTGCGATCAATACTTCATAATCCATTCGATTATAAACCATTATATGCATAACATCACATACTGTACCTACAGAACATTTGTTTCTGTTTTGACATGTCAAATAATAATAATAAAACAAAAATCAATTGGACAAGTAGACAAAGCAAAGCATTATTTTAAATATGGCTCAAGCAGGTTCAATTGTTCAAGAAATCAGAACCTGTCAATACTCAAACAGCAAGTCGACAATAAAGCCTTGACCACTCGCAATTGCACATGTTATTCCTCAGCAAGCCGATCTCATTCACATCTATTTTCCCTCCTAAAATCACTATCAGTCCACCCTTCCCCCCTCAGACCATCCCAATGTATGTGTGTGTATTCGTTTTTTTGCCACACAATCAATGTGGCTTTTAAGATGTCTATCGATTCGCTCGCGAGACAGACCTCGGCTCGCTGGAGCGACGCTTTGATTGCTGTGCGAGTAATTACTGTTATTATTTATGCATCTGGGTGAAATGGCAGGACTTAACATTCCCTGTACAAGAGGCCACAGGCAATCAACAGAGAGAAAGCACCTGGAGAGCTGAGAGCCGGAGAAATGAGCACAGGGACACGGGGAAATTCGCTAAAAAATACACGCACATGTGAACACTGACGGAAGAAATGCGGGGGGGTTTGGAGCATGGTTTTGGGCTTTTCATTGATTTAGGGTTAATTATGAGACATGTTAAAACATTCATCTGTCAATCGGTTATGTGTATATTGTAATATTTATTTTAATTGTAAATACTATGATTATATTTATATATTGATGTTTCAATATACTTTTTATATATTAATATATAGTAATCTGGTAGTGTTTGCTCTGCTCTGCCTTGTTAAGGTTAATTATTATGACCTCCCAATTGCAAGAGCAACAGAAAAATATTAAGAAATCTCAATAGACTGATTATTTATTTATTTATTTATTTATTTATATATGCTTTATAATCCTAAAATGTGGGCAAAATCACCTTTTTTGTCATCATTTTAGACATTACGCTAAAGAATCATTCAAATACTAGCTCTAGTATTATCGAGCAATATTGTGAGACTGCCCACTTCTGTTAAAATTATACCAGAGTTACCGACCGCACCCGCAAACGTGCATGGCATGTGTGCGCGGGCGTGTGTGCTTGTATATATATATATATTTCTTGTACTGTAATATTTGCATATTTATTACATAATTAACAATTACAACAACAATTAAAATAAACAGAAATACAATATACATGCAGTATATACTGTAGGCACAGAAATGCCCATTACTTTTACATTTTCATAGTGTTTATTTTCTTTTTAACTGGTTCACTTAAAAACGTAAAATAAAAATAATGACCTTATTCTACACTGTTTTTGTGTTTGATTAGTTATTGCGGTTATTTAAAGTTTAAGTTTAAGATAAATAAATAAAATAAATTTTAAAAAAATTATTTTTTATATATTAAAGGTAATATGTATGTAAGCGTATTAAATTTAATATGTCTAATTCCAGGTTGATAAGGTCACTTTTATCACTGCATGCAGCTAAAATATTCATGAATTCAATGATTTTTTTCACATATAACCTACTGTCTAAAAACCCATAGAGTCACTTTACAAACAGACAATTAAAATACTGCATAAAAAGCCTCTAAGACATCATCACTGTAACATTTTACAAAAACATTTTTTTTTTAAGCTGGGAAAATGTCATTAAGTATTCAAACATTTGTCTGATGTATAAAATCAATCATGGTCTGTCATCCCCACCTCTCAGTCAGTATGTAAAGATCTGGAACACCACACACAGAGCAACACGAGGGGCAGCCTGAGGAGACTGTATTGTCCCACTCCAGAAAAGTACCTTTGGTCAGGGCTCCTTTTAAGTTACAGGCTGCACAGGAGTGGAATTATGTCCCTGGCAGCATCAGAGATATAACCTCCATTGATTTTTTTTCAAAAAACATTTAAAAATCTGGTTTATAGAGAATCAGATGTGTCATCATTCATGAACCTAGCATGTTTCCATTTGTGCCTACCATCTTAATGATTTGTTGTTTAAATAAGTTTCAACTATTTTTATCTCTATTACAAAATGTTGGTGTTTAAGGGAGCTTTCACACTTGGTTCATTTGGCTGGACTTTACCCAAGTTCGATTGTCCCCCCTTGCCACCTTCTTGGTTGGTTTGTGTTCCCACTGTGTTTTTTCCTTCTAAACCCCGGTACGCTTGAGTCTTCGAGCTGCCGTTTTGTTTACGACTGTTGCTACGTGACGGTCACGAAAGCAAAGTGGCAAAATGGAAAGACGCACACACATCGCAGTCATTCTGCCTTTACTAAATCTTTATGTTTTGGACATACAGAAAGTGACTTGTGTCCATCTGCGACAAAAATATTATAAACATTCAGAACATCACACTGTTTTTGGAGGAGACAAGCAGAAATTATCTCTGTTTTTGCCCTGGCTCAGTCCCGCTTGTCACCAAGGTACGATACGTGACACACACGCACGCACGCACACACAAACACACACACAAGAGTGAACGTTATATGAAAACAAAAGTTTGTTGTACAGTTGGCGGTTTACTTTCGTTATTTGGTAGGCTTGCATTCACATCAGAAGTGAACCGTACCAGAGTTCGCATGAACCGTATCCCAGACCTCTTTCAGGCGTACTCGGGTACGGTTCACTGGTGCGCACCCAAGTTCAGAAGACACGTTCACAGTAGCTAAACATACTGTACTATGACGTCAAACGAGCCCGGGTGCGGACCAAAAGTGCTAGTGTGAAAGCACCCTTAGTTTAAATTGTATATATAATTTTTTTTTTATAAACATCTACATAACTTTGTCTATTTTAGTACTTTTTAACTATGTTTGATTGATTGTATAATTCTTGTATTGTTTTTTTTATGTTGTTCAGGGACAACAGATTAAAGATAACCTGGCTAATTCTGGTGCATTTGCTGAAATGCTAATTAATGTACACTGTCCCTGCCAAATAAACAAGCAAACAAACAAACAAACAAACAAACAAACAAACACGCAAGCAAATAAATAAATAAATAAATAAATAGTGTGGTTGACTGCCTCTCAAGAGGATGAGAATGGATCTGGAGAGCATTTGCCAATTGACTAACACCTGTGTCTTTACAGTGATTGGGCAAAAGAGAAGACATAAAAACCATGCTGGAAAATGCACAATAATAAAAAATAAAAAAATTTAAATAATAACATTATTCTACATATTTTTGTGTTTGATTAGTTCTAGCAGTTATTTAAAGTTTAAGTTTAAAAATAAATAAAGATAAATAAACAAATTATTTTTCTTTATTAATCTTCATTACCATTAATTTGTTTTAATTTATTAGTTATTAGTTTAGATCCATGAAATGATTTTGAAATGTACAACTATTGATTTTAAGAGTAAAAAAATATTATTAAAATCAACATCGAGATCAATGAATGCTTTAGTAAAATAAATAAGATATAAATAAGTTAAAAATAACACTGAGATAAATAAATGCTTTAAAACTATTTCATTAGGATTTTAATCTTACTATTTAATCAAATGTAGACAACAAAACAAAAGTTAATTAAGAACGTACAGTGTTATTATTATTTAAATATTAGGATTTTAAATTGAAGCCAGAGAATGAAGTAAAAAAAAGCTTGAAAAGTGTTTTTGTCTCACCTGTGAAAGGCCAAGGTAGATGGAGACGGTCTCTGAGATGTAAAGAAATCTGCCTTCTTGACTGACCACAAACACAAATCCATCCAGAGACTGAGAAGAGAAAAACGCAACTGTAGATTCAGCTGAACACACACACAACACTTTAAATCTGACTTCATAGCAAAGTTTGCTTTTTAAAAGTGTACTAAAATAAGAAACACAGCAAGAGAGTGTACTTTCTTTGAGGAGAAACATTGCATGCAAAAACTACGATGGCTGAGAGCGCTCAAACATGCTGCAGGATAAGAAAAAAAAAACACAAAAAAAAACATACAAATACAAAAACACTAACAAAATGAGAAAACATCTTTATCAATTTGATAATGCACAGGCAACAAATTCTCACAACACATGCAAATAAAGAAGAGCACTGTCAATAGCGCTGACCACAATGGAATGGGACCCAATACAAACTCCAAAAAGTCAGAAGATCTGTGAGGTGAGTTTTTTGTTTATTTCAACATTCTGATCATATGGATCATACCTTGTTATTTGCACATTTTTAATTGTGAGAGTAACTACAACAAATGGAAAGGAACTACAACAAGGAACAGTATGACCAGGATAATAAAATAAATAAACAACTTTTCCTCCCAGATGTCAGACAACACCACTGATTCTAAACCAGAAGCTTGTCACTTTTTATTCGTCACACATTTCCATTATGGTCTGCATTATTTGCAGTGTGTTTCCATGTGTGTATGTTTTGTGAGAATTAGCAGGCGCATGTTTTGCTCAATTTTTTTTTTCTCAGTTTGTTAGTTGTATGAGTTGTTTGTTTGTTTGTTTTTTCCTGCAGTTTGAGGTCTCTTAACCATTGCAAACTCCACACAGAAATGCCACTTGGCCCAGCCGGGACTCAAACCAGCAATCTTTTTGCTGTGAGGTGACAGTGCAAACCACTGAGCCACCGTGCCACCCGTTTATATTACAAAACATGTAAAAATGATACTTTTAAAAAAGCTGTTTTTTAATGGCAGCATTTTCTGAATTACGAACTGACAAAAAGAGATTGCTCAAATCCAAAAAAACTTTGACTTTTATGTGTCAAAACAGTGAAAACGGATTGAGTTTTGTGTGGTAAATGTATGTAAATGAAGGCATATTTGATTAAATAATGCCTCATTTGCATTTTAAACAGCCTTTCAGAAAACTTGTCATGCAAAATATGTTTGCTGTTCTTAATGTAATCAAACAACCGGTGAAGTACGATGAAAACTATTAGTTCATTTTAAACACTTTATCCACCAGCATTGTATTGCCTTAACCCCCCCCCCCAAAAAAAAGAACAAATATAAAATTATATAAATAGTTGTTTATTTATAAATTTATATAAAGAATAAAATCAAATTTTTAATCATCCTCATTATTGATTATTCAGTCTCACTTTACAAAAAGGTTTAAGGTTTTACTAGTAATACATTTGCTAACATTGCCCACTTATGAACATTACTTTTACAACGTTTATTAACCATAGTTTAATATTAACTAATGCATTATTAATCTAAATTCATGCTTGATAACATTAGTTATTGCACTTTGAGTTAAACTAACAATGAACAACTATATTTTATCGAACTAAGGCCCTATTATATACCCATCGCAATGTGGCACAAGGCGCAATGCAATTGTTGTTTGATTGTTTCAGCTTGGCGCAAGAGTCATTTTGACGTTTTGCACCACGCTGTTTAAATAGCAAATGCATTTGCGCTCATATGTGCTTCCATAGGCGTTCTGGTCTAAAAAGGGAGGTGTGTTGAGGTGTAATGCTTGCACGCTGCTATTTTGAGAATCTATAATAGATTTTTCAATAGACCAGGACAAAGTCAGTCTATTGTCCAGCGCAGAGCGTGTTAGTTGTGCGCCTCGCTTACACACTCCTTAATACACACAAGATGTAGAGCAATTCCCAAATATCTTTACATATGAAAAATAATTAAAATATTAAGGATTTGTTTAGGACATAATAAGAATATATATATATATATATATATATATATATATATATATATATATATATATATATATATATATATATATATATATATAGGATATAAATATAAAGAATTAAAATATTACAAAGCATATTATTTTCTAGCCTACATAAATATAAAAACCATACTTTCATGCCTTCTTCATCTCGGGGGGGGTTTTCAGTTTATTCGTGACAATTTGCTTTTGTATAATGTTATTATTAATTGCAGTATTATTTATTATATGCATATTTATATTTGTTTTATTAAAAACAAGCTTAGATTTGTCCACCTGTCAGGTTTTAGACCATATGGGGCACAGCATGTGTATTAGGATATAACTCAGTTTTTTGACCACACTTCGTTATTATTGTTCATTTATTCGTTTGCTGGAAATTAGAACTGAATTTAGAAATAGTTTTAAAACAAATATTTACTCTTAACAAATTAAATTAACTATCTATAGGCTATTTGATGTCTGTGCGTACAAGATTTCCCTATCCACGAGAGCGAAAGTGAAAGTTAATAATTTATCTCTCATTCTCGCGCTGTAGATGCTCTGTTTAACTGTTTTCTTGCTAGTGAAATGCTAAGTTTTTCCACTTACACTTACTTTACGTCATGTAAATAGCAAATGGGCTATGGCGCGATGCAACTGACTCTTAAAGGGAATGGGAGATGAGACTCTGATTGGTTTATTCTCAAAACACACCTATAACTCATTAAGGAAATAAGCTCAACCCTTTTAGATCATGCGCCATGGCGCAAAGCTGATTTTTCCGTCCTTATATTAGCAAAAGTAGATTCTGACATGCTCTGAATGCATTTGCGCCCTGCACTTTGCACATAGGGCGTCAAAATAGAGCCCCTGACATGTACAAATACCGTAATAAATGTATTGTTCACTGTTTATGTTAGTAAATGCATTAACTTTAACTAACGCAACCCTATTGTAAAGTGTTACCGATTATTCTCTTTTGCATGTGATAATTTACAAAAGTAAGTGAGCATCATTTTATCCAGTAAATCATCACAGAATTATGAAAAAAATATAATTTATGATTCTTGTTTTACCAGGTAAGAACATGGCACTTCAGAAGTAAACTGACACAACACTTCTGAACAAATCTCCTGATTTTTATTTAAGAAAATCAACGTACGCATCAGCATCAGAGCAAAAACAACACACTACAGAAGAATCAGATTGATTTAGAGCCTCAAAATAAACTCGGGAGAGCGTCTGGCAGATGAAAGCATACAGTCAGCCTATTAAAGCAGCCATTTAAAGAATCATATTAATTGTACTAACACACAGGCAGGGATGAAGCAGAGTGGCCACTTTAGTTCAGATTGACTGTTGTTGTGTGGGTAATTTATGCAAGTGACGAGTTCACTATGCAAATGAGAGTGGACCGGAATGACAGGAATGCTGGAAATAAAGCGCAATTATCTAGTTATTACTGACAAGAGGACGAGACAAAGAATCATAAGGATTTTCAGAAGTGTTAATTTGATTTCTATCAGCGCTGGCCCTCTCTGTGCGCTTTACATTTTTCTCAAGGTAACCTTCTAATGACTTTTTTTTCTGGTAAATTAAGTCAGAGTTATCAACTTTTGATGGCATATCGAGCCTTTTTTTATAATCTTGGACACAATGAGGCTTTTAAAAAAGAAAGTCATGATGCTGGATTTATTTGGTGCAAAAAAACTATGTTAAAACATCTGTTTTCTATTTTAACTTAAAAAGAAAAACATTGTGATTAAAACTTGGTCAAGGTTTGGATCAATTGTTCTGCACTTTTTCTTTTTTCTATATTTTTTTAAGGAACCAAAGCCTTTAATGAATGCAAAGGGTAAATAATAGGATTTATTTGTATTAAAAATCTTAAATGTCACTTTTGTCTAATTTTGGTAAATAGGTAATGATAATTTCAAACTGGCTAAATTAATTTCATATTTTAAGCGTATATGGATTATATTTTTGTTGTTTTTTGATACAGTGTATTTTGTTTAAAGAACAGTTTTAAGTGTATGATACTCTGTTCAAAATATGAAATCAAATTAAATCAAATAAAATTCTCTTCTTTCCAAAAAAAGCTGCATTAAAAAAAGCAACAACAGTGTATCTGTACAAAACCTAGAACAACTATTTTTATGAAGAAAAACAAATGTAAATGTTGAATAGCATTACATAATATGATCCACATGACATGATATTAATCAATGCACATTTATGAAACAATAATTTGGATAATGAATGTTTACCTGCAGTAGATGAGCTCCCAAATGCTGTTCGAATATGTCAGTGACCAATGAATGACTTGTTCTTCGCACTGAAAAAAAAAACAAATAAATAAATCCTAAGAAAGCATTTGTAAAATGTTAAGCAGTTGTTTTGAGCAAAATGTCTGCAATTTCTTAAATAGTCAGATACATCTACTGTACATTTGGCAACTTAAGCTCATGAAAATTATGTCTATGACTACTTTTGGCATATACAGTTGAAGTCAGAATTTTTAGCCCCCTTTGATTTTTTTTTCTTTTTTAAATATTTCCCAAATGATGTTTAACAGAGCAAGGAAATTTTCACAGTATGTCTGATAATGTTTTTTCTTCTAGAGTATGTCTTATTTGTTTTATTTTGGCTAGATTAAAAGCCGTTTTTATTTTTTTGAAAAAGCATTTTAAGGTCAAAATAATTAGCTCCTTTAAGCTATATTTTTTCCAATAGTCTAGTGAAACCATCGCTATACAATAACTTGTCTAATTACTCTGACCTGTCTAGTTAACCTAATTAACCTAGTTAAGCCGTTAAATGTCACTTTAAGCTGCATAGAAGTGTCTTGAAAAAGATGTAGTAAAATATTATTTACTCTCATCATGGCAAAGATAAGAATTAGATTAGAATTAGAAATGAGTTATTAAAACTATTACGTTTAGAAATGTGTTGAAAAAAATCTGCTCTCCGTTAAAAGAAATTGTGGGAAAAAATAAACGGAGGGGGCTAATAATTCAGACTTCAACTGTATATTGGAATGAAAGCAAGTACGCTTTATACAGTATTAAACATAAACAAACCTTCTACAAAAGAATTCTACAACAAATCAGCTTTGTTTTTTGGGAATGTCGAAATGAAAGAAATAGTAAAGCAAGAGGACTCAAAGCCACAGCCATCTGCTACATCATCACCAAAGACTGACCAATGGTACTTCAAATGAATTTATAAGCTGTAGTAATTCGGAAATGTTTCAAACTCCTAAAACTATCTCCCATCGAACATTGTTTTTTTTTTTTGCCCTGATTTTGTTAAAGAAATCCCACCAGTTCTTTCTTTAATATAGTTTAAAGTACATTGCCACCTTAAAAGTTTTGTTTAAAAATAAAAACTTTATCTTTAAAAGTAATATTCCAGAAAAATCTTCTGTCACTCTAAACTATATGCATTAACTAAAAGGGATTTTATAGTTCTCAATAATAAGCCTGACACATGTTTTGGATGAGTTCAATTATTCATAATGTCCCAACGGAAATCACAGTGTTCTCCGAACTTATTAGGATGTGCTGCTCATATCAAACTGTTGTGTATCAATATAAATACCATTGCCTTCTAACGTATAGTATAGAGGAAAAAAAAAATATATATATATATATATATATATATATGTATTTCATTATATCATACAAACGTATTATACCACCATGCAACGAACCACAAAACAATGTTACCAAAGATTTTATTCATTCGTTCATTTTCCTTCAGCTTATTCCCTTTATTCATCAAGTGTCGCCACATCGGTATGAACTGCCAACTTATCCAGCATATGTTTTACACAGTATATGCACTTCCAGCCACAACCCAGTACTGGCAAACACCCATACACTCTCACATGCACACAGATATACTACAGCTAATTTAGTTAATCCATTTCACCTATAGCATGTGTCTTTGGACTGTGAGGGAAACCGGAGCACTAGGAGGAAACCCATGTGAACACGGGAAGAGCATGCAAACTCCATACAGAAATGCCGACTGACCCAGCCAGGACTCGAACGAGCAACCTTTTTGCTGTGAGGCGTAAGTGCTAACGACTAAGCCACCGTGTCACCCACAAACATTTTAATAAAAGGGTATTACTATGATATTCTCACTCACTTTATTCTTCATAAAAATACAGGCCCAAGCTGTTTAAAAGCTTTAAAACAGAGCAGACATATCTTGACAGTCTCAATATTTGTTGACAGTAGCTGATAGTAGCATGAAACAGCATTTCTGTCTTCTACTGGCACTCAAAGAGACTCTCAAAGACAGCGAGTGGGTTTTATTGGGCTGAAAACACAGACGGAGACATGCTAATTCACCCTCAGCACACAACAGCATCCAGAGCCGTCTGTCATCACAAAACAAACACGTTTACAAATCACACAAACGACACTGGCGGAGCATTTCAAACATGCCTGTCTCTGATCGTCTGCTCTAGAATCCCGGCTGAAAATCCCTCAATTCACAGCGGGATGTCTCTCTCTCTCTCTCTCTCTCTCTCTCTCTCTCTCTCTCTCTCTCTCTTTCTCTCTCTCTCTCTTTCTGTGTACCTTGTATTTTTAACATTGTGGGGACCAAATGCCCCACAAGTATAGCAATACAAGTGAATTTTGAACTTGTAGGGACATTTTTTGGTCCCTATGAGAAAAAAAACAGCTCATAAATAATACAAAGAGAAGTTTTTTTAAATGTAAAAATGCTGATTGTTTTATTTGTGAAGGTTGATTTTGGGTAATATGACAGAATTTACAGTCTACCAGTGTTGGGGGTGAGGCATTACAAGTAACATGGTCGAGTGTAACCTTCATAGATTGCTGCAGAACATTTACATGGACTACAAGTCCTGTCATGCAACACACACACACACCTGCTCCAAATTTCCATTGATTAGACTCACACAGCTGATGCTGCTCATGGACTGATTACACTAATGTAAAAGTGTATTTACTGGTATTTTGGAATTGATGTGTGAATGGAAAATTTACTAAGTGTCCTGTGTGAACAGCAGTTTTTTGAAAAAGTCGGTAAAGTTTTACCGAAGTTTTTCGGTAAAGTCGTTCCAGTAATTTTCCGGGTATTTACCAGTATCGATGTGTGAAAGTGGCTATTATCCTAAAAAATAAAAAAAATTAATTATTTTTTAAAGGTAAATGCAGGTGTAGGTTATAAAGTGTGTTGTTAATTGCAGAACTCTTCTACTAAAAAAGAAGAAAAACAGGTTTTAAAAGAGATCAAGCCAGGTAACAAAAAGTAACTCAAAAGTAACGTAATGCATTACAAACTATAAAAAGTATAACTACATAAATGAACTGGTTACTTTTATGCAACACTTGTCTGTAAAGTATAAAAGACTTTACGTCTATAGACCATTTTGAGCGATGTAAACAAAAACGATGGTCCCAACGTATTTTCTGTTTCACATTTTCAATTTCTATAGCTTCAGAGAATCCAAAAAGAGCCACATGAATCCAGTAAGACTTCAACAAGATACTGAGTTTAAAGATGAAGATTATCTGGAAAGTAAATGTTATGTTCTTGTATAACCTTGAGTCAAATCTTGTCAAAACAAAGAGCATGTTATGTTCATTCATTCCCTTCAAATCGGCTTAAGCCCTGTTTCCACTGTGAGATTTCAGCCATGAATCTGTCATCTGAGACAAATTTGGGAAATCCTAAAATATTCCTGAAATCCTGGGCTTAAATCAGTGATCTTTGGTTTGACATGTTCACTGACAGCCGCTTAGTGCCCGTTGCGATCAGATTTTTCCTCCAATGAAGTTCTGGCAGAGTAAGAAGTTTTTAGACACTTTCCTGCAGTGTGACAACTGCGATGAACGTCAATCCAAGAACCAATAGGAGCTCTGAACGTGATGAGGAGATTCATGCGACAATTAAAATGTACGCGGGGAAATGTCAAAACAGTTTATGTCTTCCTGGTTTTATTATTGAGACACGCCATGTGCAAAATTGCCACTACAGATTGTTTATGTTTGCTGTGAGTTTGTAGTGAAAGTGTCACAGGTGAATGACATCAAACTCCAGTAGCATTTTCTTTTGTGTTTGGCTCATCTTCATTGTCGTTCAGTCTGACTTCATGATGGCTGAGATCTTATAGAATGGCATGAGAGCCATGTTCATGCAGTCTGACATGCTACAATCATTCAGGATTCTAAAAATCCCACAGTGTGAGCTGGCCTTAAGTCTCTCTTTCAGAGCTTGCCACAGTAGAATGAACCACTAACTATTCAGCATATGTTTTGCAAAGCGGATGCCCTTCCAGCCACAACCAGTACTGGAAAACACCCAAACACTCTCATTCACACACATACACTATGGACTGTTCAGTTTATTAAACACACCTATTGTGCATGTGACAATGCTAACCACTAAAACCTGGTTTCTACTTCTGCGTCACGTGATCCGCATGACCCACGGCGCGTGCAATGCGCAAAGCTGTGCATTTATACTTTCTGTTGCTCTGCAATAACACTTTGGAAACGCTAGTTGGCAGTGATGTGTTTATGTTCTTCTGTGTCGAGTATCTTCGCTGGTGTTTTGTTTTTTCTGAACGCTTCCTTTACAACTGGTACCACTTCCTCCTGTACAAGTGGTTCAAACTCGCTCATTTTGGAACCGGCAGACGTGTAACAACTTTAACCATGAGGTAAACACAAAACAAAACTTTCCATCCGAAGCTCCTTAACGGGACTCCACACCTGTAAACACTTGCTCCATCGGGCTCTCGATCCCCTCCACACTTGTCAGCGCTTCCAAGCCGACCAATCACAGAGCTTGCGCTACGCGTCGTTGCGATTTGTAGTTACATTTTTTTAAAGTTGCGCGTCAGTGACACCGACGGCCACGGTGAGGGCTATGCGTCCAAGCGTAGGCCGCATCGTAGCATACCCGTGCGCTTGACGCAGAAGTATAAATCAGCCTTTAAGCCACTGTGTCACTGTGTTTTGAAAGATATAAATGTAAATAAATTACTTTTTGCACACACTGGATGACACATACACTCACTCTCTTTTTATCTAACACACACACACACACACACACGTCTATGTGGCTATTTGAATTTTAATTAATTATTTTAGTGTAAGAGTGTTAGAGGCTACTAGATGACATTTTAGGGACATTTATGGTTTTAGGTTAATTTATACATTTAGGTTAATTTATTATCATTTTAAAGTCATTTTCAATTCATGGAAAACATCAGCTTGAACAATCTACAAAATATCTCCTTTAGATTTTAATGAAAGAAAACAGGGTTTTGAAAGCCATCAATGTGAA